CCAAGCGTTTTGGTGGATTTGGGTGCAAAAATTGTTCATTGTTATTTTGTCTTTTCCTCCACCCGCCCACCTACCACCCCCACCCCCGAAAGAAGACAAGTCACAAAATGTGCAAAGAATTCGCCCATAAGAATTGGCTGGTGTTCTACAAAGAAGGAGGGTAAGAATAAATTCCTCTTTTTTTAAACTTCTTCTTTGCTTACAGAATTAGCCAGAGGTTCTCCTAATTTTTAACGTTTCACCTTTCAGGAACTACCTTACCGTCATGGATGTCCTGGAGGGCAATGCCCACACCATCTCCTTGCCCATCAGCCTCAAGTCTGTCTTTTTAGTGGCCGAAGACCGGTGGCTTTTGGTGGAAAATAAAACGAACCAGTACGAACAACCTTCTCCTACCTCATCTTACTTAATTTAATTTATTCGATTTATAGGCCGCCCATGTCCTTGTTTCTCCACCTTGGCCCCCTTGAAGAGATCCTACTACACGGATACAAATAAATAGTTGTGCAATCTCTTCTTAAAAACTTCCATTGTTGGAGCATTCACAACTTCTGGAGGCAACTTCTGTTCCACTGGTTAATCGTTCTCACTGTCTGGAAATTCCTCCTTAGTTCTAAGTTGCTTCTCTCCTTGATTAGTTTCCACCCATTGCTTCTTGCTCTGCCCTCAGGTGCCTTGGAGAATAGTTTGACTCCCTCTTCTTTGGGGCAGCCCCTGAGACATTTCTTCTGCAATTATTCAGTCCAGCTGTTGTAGAATTAATTATTAAAAAGTGCAATAATTGTTGTGAGGTCCTTGAGGTCTGAGCTTGATGGTTTTTCTTGCAGATGTTTCCTTCCCAAACTAGTGAGCGCTGATGATGATACCTAGTTGGGTCGCGAAATTAACGAAGCACCAAGGACCCCCGCAGTCTTCCTCCTCTTCCTCCTCCTCCTCTTCTCTGCAAACCCCACAAAGACCTGTGGATTTCAACATCCCAAACGGTGGTGGGATTCAATTTTTTTTTACTAACGGTTCTGTGGGCGTGGCTTGGGGGAGTCACGTGACTGAGTGGGCATGGCCAACTCAACGTCATGGCCATGCCCACTCAGTCACATGACCACACACACACAAACACCAAACCACGCCCAGAGAACCTGGTAGGGGAAAAAAATTGAATTTCTACCTATTTTCTGACCTGCCCTGAGTTCATTTGTCAAAGGCCTCCTCCTCCCCCTCCTGCATGCCGCCCGATCTCCCTTCGCCCGTCCCGTTTCTGCTCCTTCAGGGGCCCCGGGCCTAGTCCCACCTCCTCCCCCACAACCGCCTCTTCCTTTGCTTCCCGGCAGCGGCGGCTGGCTGGAGGTCACCGAAAACTACCGGAGATCTCGAACGCACCAAAACAGCTACCGTTGCCCTACCTGGCCGCATACGCACATCCCATCTCCTGCTGCCCCGGAGGGATTTGCCCGAGTTCTATTTGGGATAGAAAAGTGATGGCACTTGGGCTGCATGAAAGGGTTTCCTTGTCTGCAGTTTTTATTGATTTATTTTGGTAATGTCGTGAGCTGCCCACAATTACCACGGCCCAAGACAGCGGTAGGAATCTTTTACATTAAATCGATGAAAGGATGAGAAAGGAAAAGAGTGTGGAATTATCCCACAGCAAATTGTCTTAGTTCCTATGACTATACCATAAACTAGACATATCCTATATCCTGGGTATGTCTAGTTTAATGAAAAGAAGGACTAGGGGAGACATGATAGCAGCCTTCCAATATCTCAGGGGTTGCCACAAAGAAGAGGGAGTCAAACTATTCTCTGAAGCACCTGAGGTTAGAACAAGAAGCAATGGGTGGAAACTAATCGAGGAGAGAAGCAGAACTGAGGAGGAATTTCCAGACAGTTAGAACCATGAGTCAGTGGAACAGAATTTTCCTCTAGAAGTTGTGAATGCTTCAACACTGGGAGTCTTTAAGAAGATGCTGGATAGCCATTTGTCTGAAGTGGTGTAGGGTTTCCTGCCTGACCAGGGGGTTGGACTAGAAGACCTCCAAGGTCCCTTCCAATTATGTTATTGTATTGTATTGTATTGTAT